TATGTTTTGCATTTTTTATAGTCGTTTTCCTGGTTACATAATGATTTGGATTGTTCTGGTAGTCCATATCACTGAACAGAGATCGTATATCATATATTTAAATAGGAAGTGATTGTAGAATCGATAAAAAAATGCAGTAAAAATATTATGCACTCTTCCACTATGCGGACAAATTATCGATATTTAGAAACTTACTGATTGAACATTTAACAGAGCAATCAAGGATGTAGTAATTAAGTAAGTTTAAATATTCTATAATTGTGATAATTAGTTGGTGAGAATTAGAACATTCGAGAGGGAAAGAATATTACTAATTTTTTTGTATACTGAACATGATAGTAAATTTGAATCATGTGATTTATAACGTTTTTCACTAGCAGAACTGATGCGCACATTAAAGCGAAAGAATATTATTAATTTTTTTTGTACACTTATCTAATCTGAATGTAAAAGTGAGATATCTCAATTAATATAATACTCAATGTATATTTTATCAAATAGCACAATAAAATGTATTGAGGATTTCGTAGTTTAATTCCTTTTTATATTTTTATTAAACATACATATTTACGTCAATTTGTGTACAACGGCTTAAAGTGCACTGAGTGCGCACGAGCTCCGCCAATGAAAATCGCTATTAATTTGTATTCAATGAAACTATACAATATGTACAAATACTTATTACTTTTGTAAAGGACTGTAAACTGTGCAAAATTGAAATCATTGGAATAAGAAAGGGGAATAAAGAATTAAAATTTCAAACTAACAGAAAATCATATAAGGGAGCCCGTGCAAAATGGACGCTTTGGATATGGCGAATACCTTTTATTTTTGCTTATCTATTTGAGATTGTGCTATAAGTCTCTAGCAGTTAAAAGAATGATCGAGCAGTGACGCTATGAACGTAGAAAACAAAAAATATCATTCCGTTCGTTTATGTTTAATAGAAACATATAAAAAATTGAGTGTTTTCTTATGATTTTATTTAGATATGTAGCTTAATTATTATCTGTAATTGTTTCTTAATCAGTGTGAATGATTTTTTTATAAGAATTCTCTGTTTAAACGTGTATTCGAAGTTAAAAATTTTTCACTTGGTGCTTCAACTTTTTCTAACTTTTCCAAATTCGTGCCAGGTAGGTCCTTTGGGCCAAGCGAATGGGGACAAAGCGGATGATCCATCCTCTTTATCTTCGTATGGTTACAGAAAATACTGGGAATACGGAAGGACAGACGATCTTTCGAGTTTATGAAAGGCATGTGTTTGTTTACATATCATTTTTGTTTATTATTTGCCACAATGCAGTGTGATGATTTGTTTGTGACTGATCTAGTACAGTCATTGCATCAAATGGACCCATGAAGGCTGCACTACATATAAAGTAGTTTGTTGTTTGATAATTTTTGTAACAATCGCCAAGATTTTAATTGTTTTAATTCCATTTGCATTGCTTGAGTAACCGCTTTGGCCAGAGTGGGGTCGGGCAAAGTGGATGGCTTCTCTCTATTTTAATGTTTTAACTAAAACGACATATTATTGTCCAAGTTTTTAAATTTGTTTTAATTTTATTTCAAAGTTTAGTTCTTTAAGAGATTTATGAGAATAAAAATGATTTCTGATCTCAATTTTAATTGTGTAATTTTTTCATCTCAATCTTAACACGTCTGCACTGCCCAGGCTTCCCCTACTGTGGAACGTACTAAACGTACTAAAGACAATCTCAGCAGGAAATTTTGAAACATTTCAAGAATATTATAAAAATGTTGTAACGTTGAAATGAAAATGATTTTTATAGAAAAAGTTATATAAATTATGCATATTTATGCCTACATTTGTACACGCGCTCGCACGCATGCCCGCATTCACGTACGCACGCACACAGTGAATATGTACGCCCATACACACACTCATTCAAAAAGACACAAATGTGTGTGTGTGTGTGTGTGTGTGTGTGTGTGTGTGAGTGAGTGTGTGTGTGTGTGCATAATATAATAAAACTAAAATCTTAATAAATAATGTATCTATATACAATTTTCAATTTGAAAAAACGCCCATTAATTATATCATTACTAATAAAAAACTGAAAAGAAAAGGCTTCTATCATTTTGCAATTTTTGTAATATTTTTTTAATTACCTAATGTGCTAAAATTGACATACAAGACAACTTTTATTAAAATATTATTAAAGAGTTCTTCAAGAAACACCTTCATAATATTTCACAAAGAATACAAGGATATCTTAAAATTGTCTTATTCATCGATTTTATCCGTTTTAGCAATCTATAGAAATTAATATCTCGTTAACTATTGCGAAAATTGCAAAATAGTAGAGGATTCTTTGACTGAGCATTTTTATTAGGAATAGTACTGTATGCTTAGTGAGCGTTAGTTGCATTACACCTTGTGTATAATATAAATATGTGTATACACATATGTATATGTAATACGAATAGATGCATATATAAATCTTATTTATCGACTCGCATCACAAATTTATTTAACAAATTTTTTGTTGAGTAAATACCAAGGGTATTTGCGTAACACATTTTTTATCTGACACTGATTATTTAATTACTATCATTTTTGCAGAATGTCTAATTAATGTCTTTAATTTACTTGGAATATACTTACATAAGACATTGTTTCAAGTGTAGTGTTAAACTTGTAAGTTTGGACCCAATTGTTACATTACAGAGTATACATGTTGCCTCTGTACCGCTTTCTGCGATAAAATAATCCCAAGTTCAATGGAATTTATCTTCTTTCTTCTCTTCTACTTAATATGTTGGATGTGCCTTCACCAAGTGTTTATGTAAAATAGCTAACAATCTATTATGTATATTGAATTTTGCATTGCAATAATTGCATCTTGTCTCATTTCTACTTGTTAATTTTGTGTAACGTCTACGTATTCAAAGATGATCTGAGATAAAATTGTCTGTCTTTGGAGTTATATCCTCATTTGTACTCGTATCATTATCTGAATTGCTCTTGTTATCTACACGATCTGAATTTGGACCTAATATCCTACATTCACATAAGAAGTTATTAGAAAAGTAATAAAAAGTACAGTAGATATATTATAATATATAGATATTTCAATTATGTACATATTCCGCTGTACGGACTGAATTATAATTTTTTTAGAATCTATTATTTGAACATTTAGGAGTAGCGATCAAGAATGTAGCGATCAAGCAGATTTAAATTGATATAATGTTCTGTAAATTTGATAATTATCGAGTGAAAACAGAATGTTTCAATATTACTAATTTTTTATACTAAATATAGTGATAATAAATTTGAAACATTCTGTTTGTATTCAATGAGACTGTGTAACATAAATGAATACTGAATACTTAGTTTCGTAAGGAATTGTGCAATCAAAAGAACAAAGATTGGGAAAAAAAAATTAAATAGAAATTTCAATCTTTCAGAAATCATATGTTGTGGAATACATAGTTCCTCACAGATAAAAATTCTTGTTCTGCATTCCCTATTCTTATAATTGCGCGCAGTATCAATACACATATATAAGATATTTGATTATAATTTCTAATTTGTATATTATATCAATAAATTTTTAATATTTTTATTCATTGTACGTTTATAATGCTTAGAAGTGCAAATCATATTTGATGACATGCACCCAAAATCTGTTTAATAAATTTTTTAGTTTATTTAATAAATCTGTTTAGTTTTATTTGAATATATTTGTTTGCGTTACATTTTCTTTAATCAACATTAATCAGTTTACTGCTATTAATTTTATATTCTTTAGTACGTTAATTAATTTTTAAATTTACTTGGAGTATACCTACTTGTGCTTACGTTTTAAATGCTTTTTGAGACAAGATACTGATTGGTACTTAATTATTAAGTTACATTCTTTGCATGTTGCCTCTATATCGCTTTCTGCGATAAAATAATCCCAAGTCCAATCGAATTTGTCTTCTTTCTTCTGTTCTTCATTTAATTTGTCTGGATGTGCCTTCACCAAGTGTTTATGTAAATAATCTAAAGATTTATTTCGTATAGCGAATTTTGCATTACAATAGTTGCATTTTGCCATCTTATTCCTTATTAATTTTGTGTAATGTTTACGTATATAAAGACGAACTGGGATAAAATTGTCTGTCTTTGGAGTTAGATCCTCATTTGCAATCAAGTCATTGTCTGAATTGCTCTCGTTGTCTATATGATCTGAATTTGGACCTAATATCCTACATTTACGTAAGAAGTTAAGTTTAATAAATCTTTTTAGTTTTATTTGAGTATATTTGTTTGCGTTACATTTTCTTTAATCGACATTAATCAGTTTACTGCTTTTATTTACATTAATTTTATATTCTTCAGTACGTTAATTAATTTTTAAATTTATTTGGAGTATACCTACTTGTGTATACGTTTTAAATGACTTTTGAGACAAGTTACTGATTGGTAATTAATTGTTAAGTTACATTCTGTGCATGTTGCCTCTATATCGCTTTCTGCGATAAAATAATCCCAAGTCCAATGGAATTTGTCTTCTTTCTTCTGTTCTTCATTTAATTTCTCTGGATGTGCCTTCACCAAGTGTTTATGTAAATAATCTAAAGATTTATTTCGTGTAGTGAATTTTGCATTGCAATAGTTGCATTTTGCCATCCTATTCCTTATTAATTTTGTGTAATGTTTACGTATAGAAAGACGAACTGGGATAAAATTGTCTGTCTTTGGAGTTAGATCCTCATTTGCAATCAAATCATTGTCTGAATTGCTCTCGTCTATATGATCTGAATTTGGACCCAATATCCTACATTTACATAAGAAGTTAAGTTTAATAAATCTTTTTAGTTTTATTTGAGTATATTTGTTTGCGTTACATTTTCTTGAATTGACATTAATCAGTTTACTATTAATTTTATATTCTTCAGTACGTTAATTAATTTTTAAATTTACTTGGAGTATACCTACTTGTGTATACGTTTCAAATGCTTTTTGAGACAAGATACTGATTGGTACTTAATTGTTAAGTTACATTCTTTGCATGTTGCCTCTATATCGCTTTCTGCGATAAAATAATCCCAAGTCCAATCGAATTTATCTTCTTTCTTCTGTTCTTCATTTAATTTGTCTGAATGTCTCTTCACTAAGTGTTTATGTAGAATAGCTGAGGATCTATTCTTATGTATGAAGAATTGTACGTTACAATGATTACATCTTGCTACATTACTACTTGTTAATTTTGTATAATGTCCACGTATCCAACAACGAACTGGGATAAAATTGTCTGTCTTTGGAGTTAGATCCTCATTTGCAATCAAGTCATTGTCTGAATTGCTCTCGTTGTCTATATGATCTGAATTTGGACCCAATATCCTACATTTACATAAGAAGTTAAGTTTAATATATCTTTTTAGTTTTATTTGATTATATTTATTTGCGTTACATTTTCTTTAATCGACATTATTCAGTTTACTGCTATTAATTTTATATTCTAGTATGTTAATTAATTTTTAAATTTACTTGGAGTATACCTACTTGTGCATACGTTTTAAATGCTTTTTGAGACAAGATACTGATTGATACTTAATTGTTGAGTTACATTCTTTGCATATTGCCTCTATATCGCTATCTGCGATAAAATAATCCCAAGTCCAATGGAATTTATCTTCTTTCTTCTGTTCTTCATTTAATTTGTCTGAATGTCTCTTCACTAAGTGTTTATGTAAAATAGCTAAGGATCTATTCTTATTCTTATGTATGAGAAATTGTACCTTACAATGATTACATCTTGCTACATTACTACTTGTTAATTTTGTATAATGTCCACGTATCCAACGACGAACTGGGATAAAAATGTCTGTCTTTGGAGTTAGATCCTCATTTGCAATCAAGTCATTGTGTGAATTGCTCTCGTTATCTACATTATCTGAATTTGGACCCAATATCCTACATTTACGTAAGAAATTAAGTTTAATAAATCTTTATAGTTTTATTTGAGTATATTTGTTTGCGTTACATTTTCTTTAATCGACATTAATGAGTTTACTGCTATTAATTTTATATTCTTCAGTACGTTAATTAATTTTTAAATTTACTTGGAGTATACCTACTTGTGTATACGTTTTAAATGACTTTTGAGACAAGTTACTGATTGGTACTTAATTGTTAAGTTACATTCTGTGCATGTTGCCTCTATATCGCTTTCTGCGATAAAATAATCCCAAGTCCAATGGAATTTATCTTCATTCTTTTGTTCTTCATTTAATTTGTCTAAATGTCTCTTCACTAAGTGTTCATGTAAAATAGCTAAGGATCTATTCTTATGTATGAAAAATTGTACGTTACAATGATTACATCTTGCTACATTACTACTTGTTAATTTTGTATAATGTCCACGTATCCAACGACGAACTGGGATCAAACTGTCTGTCTTTTGAGTTAGATCCTCGTTTGCAATGAAGTCATTGTCTGAATTGCTCTCGTTATCTACATTATCTGAATTTGGACGCAATATCCTACATTTATGTAAGAAATTAAGTTTAATAAATCTTTATAGTTTTATTTGAGTATATTTGTTTGCGTTACATTTTCTTTAATCGACATTAATGAGTTTACTGCTATTAATTTTATATTCTTCAGTACGTTAATTAATTTTTAAATTTACTTGGAGTATACCTACTTGTGTATACGTTTTAAATGACTTTTGAGACAAGTTACTGATTGGTATTTAATTGTTAAGTTACATTCTGTGCATGTTGCCGCTATATCGCTTTCTGCGATAAAATAATCCCAAGTCCAATGGAATTTATCTTCATTCTTTTGTTCTTCATTTAATTTGTCTAAATGTCTCTTCACTAAGTGTTCATGTAAAATAGCTAAGGATCTATTCTTATGTATGAAAAATTGTACGTTACAATGATTACATCTTGCTACATTACTACTTGTTAATTTTGTATAATGTCCACGTATCCAGCGACGAACTGGGATAAAACTGTCTGTCTTTTGAGTTAGATCCTCGTTTGCAATGAAGTCATTGTCTGAATTGCTCTCGTTGTCTATATGATCTGAATTTGGACTCAATATCCTACATTTACATAAGAAGTTCAATAAATCTTTTTAGTTTTATTTGAGTATATTTGTTTGCGTAACATTTTCTTTAATCGACATTATTCAGTTTACTGCTATTAATTTTATATTCTAGTATGTTAATTAATTTTTAAATTTACTTGGAGTATACCTACTTGTGCATACGTTTTAAATGCTTTTTGAGACAAGATACTGATTGATACTTAATTGTTGAGTTACATTTTTTGCATATTGCCTCTATATCGCTATCTGCGATAAAATAATCCCAAGTCCAATGGAATTTATCTTCTTTCTTCTGTTCTTCATTTAATTTGTCTGAATGTCTCTTCACTAAGTGTTCATGTAAAATAGCTAAGGATCTATTCTTATGTATGAGAAATTGTACCTTACAATGATTACATCTTGCTACATTACTACTTGTTAATTTTGTATAATGTCCACGTATCCAACGACGAACTGGGATAAAAATGTCTGTCTTTGGAGTTAGATCCTCATTTGCAATCAAGTCATTGTCTGAATTGCTCTCGTTATCTACATTATCTGAATTTGGACCCAATATCCTACATTTACGTAAGAAATTAAGTTTAATAAATCTTTATAGTTTTATTTGAGTATATTTGTTTGCGTTACATTTTCTTTAATCGACATTAATGAGTTTACTGCTATTAATTTTATATTCTTCAGTACGTTAATTAATTTTTAAATTTACTTGGAGTATACCTACTTGTGTATACGTTTTAAATGACTTTTGAGACAAGTTACTGATTGGTACTTAATTGTTAAGTTACATTCTGTGCATGTTGCCTCTATATCGCTTTCTGCGATAAAATAATCCCAAGTCCAATGGAATTTATCTTCATTCTTTTGTTCTTCATTTAATTTGTCTAAATGTCTTTTCACTAAGTGTTCATGTAAAATAGCTAAGGATCTATTCTTATGTATGAAAAATTGTACGTTACAATGATTACATCTTGCTACATTACTACTTGTTAATTTTGTATAATGTCCACGTATCCAACGACGAACTGGGATAAAATTGTCTGTCTTTGGAGTTAGATCCTTATTTGCAATCAAGTCATTGTCTGAATTGCCCTCGTTGTCTATATGATCTGAATTTGGACTCAATATCCTACATTTACATAAGAAGTTAAGTTTAATAAATCTTTTTAGTTTTATTTGAGTATATTTGTTTGCGTAACATTTTTTAATTGACATTAATCAGTTTACTGCTATTAATTTTATATTCTTTAGTACGTTAATTAATTTTTAAATTTACTTGGAGTATACCTACTTGTGCTTACGTTTTAAATGCTTTTTGAGACAAGATACTGAATGGTACTTAATTATTAAGTTACATTCTTTGCATGTTGCCTCTATATCGCTTTCTGCGATAAAATAATCCCAAGTCCAATCGAATTTGTCTTCTTTCTTCTGTTCTTCATTTAATTTGTCTGGATGTGCCTTCACCAAGTGTTTATGTAAATAATCTAAAGATTTATTTCGTATAGCGAATTTTGCATTACAATAGTTGCATTTTGCCATCTTATTCCTTATTAATTTTGTGTAATGTTTACGTATATAAAGACGAACTGGGATAAAATTGTCCGTCTTTGGAGTTAGATCCTCATTTGCAATCAAGTCATTGTCTGAATTGCTCTCGTTGTCTATATGATCTGAATTTGGACCCAATATCCTACATTTACATAAGAAGTTATTAAAAAAAGCAATGAAAAGTACAGTAAAGCTATTATTTTCAATTATGTTCATCCTCCGCTATGCAGACTGAATTATTATTTTTTAGAAGCTATTATTTGAACATTTAGGAGTGATCAAGAATGTAACAATCAAGCAGATTTAAATATTCTATAAATCTGATAATTGTCGGGTAAAAATTGAAATGTTTCAATATTACTAATTTTTTATATTACATTTATAAACACAGTGATAATAAATTGAAACGTGTAATTCAGTTTGTATTCAATGAAGTTATGTAACATAAATGAATACTGATTACTTTTATAAGGAATTGCGCAATCAAAGAAATATGTATTAAGAAAGAGGAAATAGAAATTTCCTTTCAGAAATCATGTGTTGTAGAATATACAGTTCCTAGATAAAAATTCTTGTTCTGATAGATAAAAATTCTTGTTCCCTATTTCTATGATTGCGCACAGTATCAATACACATATATTAGATATCTGATTAAAATTTCTAATTTGTGTGTATATTATTTCAATTAATTTTAAATATTTTTTCCATTATAACGTTTAAAAATGCAAATCATATTTGACAATATACATCAAAAACCTGTTCAATACGTTTTTTAATTTGTTTAAAAAAATTTTTTAGTTTGTTTAATAAATTTTTTTAGTTTTATTTGAGTATATTTGTCTGCGTTACATTTTTTATTTTATTACTATTAATTTTACATTCTGCAGTACGTTAATTAATTTTTAAATTTACTTGGAGTATACCTACTTGTGTATACGTTTCAAATGCTTTTTGAGACAAGATACTGATTGGTACTTAATTGTTAAGTTACATTCTTTGCATGTTGCCTCTATATCGCTTTCTGCGATAAAATAATCCCAAGTCCAATCGAATTTATCTTCTTTCTTCTGTTCTTCATTTAATTTGTCTGAATGTCTCTTCACTAAGTGTTTATGTAAAATAGCTAAGGATCTATTCTTATGTATAAATAATTGTACGTTACAATGATTACATCTTGCTACATTACTATTTGTTAATTTTGTATAATGTCCACGTATCCAACGACGAACTGGGATTATAATGTTCCCTGCTTCTTGTTCTGCCATTGTAACGTTTTATAAGGAATATTAGTAACTAATCACAAAAGATACTGAAACGTTGTAAAGAATCGTTCGCATAAACTGTTAATAAATATTTACAGATAGAAATATGTACATATGATTCTTTGAATCATATAAATATTAATACATATAAATATTAATGTTTGTATTTTTGAATCTGTTTGTTCAACGAGATTTAACAGATCTATTTATATAACTCTTATATTACAATATCTAGCTCTTATATTACATTACAAATATTATATTAAATAATAGCATTTCCATTCCGAAACTCTCTCTCATAATAAAATAAATATTATATAATAAAATATTATATAAA